TGATCACTCCTATTTCTAAAACCACAGCAAGTTCTTAGAAGTTGAATGCTCTTCCTTTAAGATGAAAGTTAAAAAAAAAAAAAAAAAGTGTATGTATTGGGAGGGAGAAGAAACAGAGCAGAAAATAACCCTTTTTTGATATGAGCATTAAAGACAAATGTACTTTATAATAAATGCAATCTTAACATACTCAAATAACAGTTTCACCTTAGTAACTCACAGTCCTTTTCTCTCTATCCACAAACCCAATTAATGTTCTTTTATCTCACAAAGAACAGATCTTGAAAATGCCCCCTTTTCTACAATTTCAAACTTTTGAATGTGTCTGACACAAGGGGCTGGGAGCAAAAAGGCAAAGAAAAGATGATTTTCCTCTGAAACTGAGGTGGCTGTTTCCCATTACTACATATTTCAGATATACAGAGAGGTCGCTGTAAACGGACAGAAAGTGAAACAGCAGCATGGGCTTCCGTCAGCCTCAGGCATACACTCCACAAACCACATACCTGTCTGGGACACTGCAGGTGCTCTGCTGTGGGGAGGAGAAAGTGGGTGCTGTGGAAGGACTGTTATTCACGTAGGCTGTGGGGGTATCGGGCCATGGAGAACACTAAGGACAGAAACAAAAATAAATTCATGATGTGCTTTGAAAGGACGTGCAAGAAATAATTTGGGATTTCACTCTCTAGTCTGCCCAAATGCAAGATTATAAAACACAAGGCACCTGACACTCATCAAGCAACCTCATAGAAACATCAAATTTACTTCTGTGTGGCAAGGAAAAATTTTACCTGCTGAATGCGTCTAAGACACTGATTAGTCTTACAAAAGACCTGAAGTGATGATAGCAGCAAAAATTTATGAAGGCATTTTAAATGTATACTTATGTAAAGTTTGCTTTCAAGAACTTTCACCTCCCTCGTTATCAATTCTCAAATAGGTGCCTATCAAGGTTTATGAATAGCAGCGGTAAGAAAAGATTCATTCATAAGCAACATCTGACATTACTGGACACCGGGGCAGTGGCTCTGTCCTACCTAGTGCTCCTGCCCTCACCAGAACCCATTTGCTTCCTGATTTCTCTAAGATTAATAATCCCAAGAAAGACGAGACAGGCCCAACATTGAAATACATCACCTACATGCGAGTATGGTACTGCCAATATCTATCTACCTATCTACATACGTTTATTATTTATATATTCTGGAAGGGGCATGGTGAAAAATATTTTTCAGCCCTAGGCGCAATTCTGACCAAAGCTAGGTCAAGGATAAAAGATACAAAGGCACACTGACTGTTACAATTAGGAGAGGTGAAAAGAGCCAAAGTCAAAAGCGTGCTGAGCAGGCCAGGGTGGTGTCAAGCAGGAGTCTTCAAACCTGAGCTGGGGAGGGGTCTGTTTCACTCCCCTGGTATTCTTCCTAAGACTAATGTGCCTGAGAATGCCGTTGGTTTCAAGGGTCCCTTTTCATAATCACTCTTTTCCCATTCTACACAAAAATCAAAAGGACTTTTTAAGGCCTGAATGACCCTGGCTGAAAGAAAACACATCTAAATCAAGTTTCTCTTATCTATAAAAAAATCTAGAGTTTAATTAAGTTCTACCCTGTCTCATCATTCAAGATGCATTTCCAATAACATTTCTATTTTTATGTTTAGATGATCAAAATTTGTATAATTTGTTGTTTTGATAAATTGGTTCTAATAATACTAAATTTTAAATTTCTCAACTGACTTAAGAGCCTTATGGTCAAAGGAAATTTTGAAAATTAAATTTCTATTTATATAAGTGTGTTGTAAAGAATTAAGGTGATCAAGGGGCCGGCTGAGTGGCTCAGTTGGTTAAGAGCTCGCTCAAGAGTTTGAGCTCTGAGCAACAGCGGTTCGAGTCAGCCCGAGCTGAGTAGCCGTGAGCTGCCAACAGGTGGCGGGATGGCTCAGCTAAAAAAAAAAAAAAAAAAATTAAGGTGATCATTAAAAGATTTTTAGGCATAGAAGTTTATCATATTACGGTAAAATTATTTAAGGAGAATGGAAGAGAAAACGAGATCAAGAAGGAAGAGCAGAATAAAATTTGGGACTTAACTAAAAAGCTTGATCATGAACTTTTTAAAATGGTGATTGTCAAATTGCTATGGTAGAGTCCACAGAATACACTTCAAAAAGTAATGTAACAATTTAATCTTAAATCATAAATGCAGAAATTGTCTCCTGTGCAACTATTTAAATTTATGATGAAAACTTTCAGATGTCAACCTAAAAATGTGCAAGGGTGTATATTCTTTCTTTGAGGGCCGGGCGAGTGGCTCAGTTGGTTAAGAGCTCACTCAAGAGTGTAAGCTCTGAGCAACAGCGGTTCGATGCCCGGCCTCCCCACCGTCCCCCCGTCCCCCCCCCAAAAAAGTCCTTTTGAGTGTAGAAATGTCAAGACTACTAGTGTGAAGGAGCTAAGGGACTGTGAAACACTCTGAGGGCAGAAACCAAGTCTCTCCAATGCTTCCAAGAGCTTAGAGCCCATCAGAAGCATCGACACAGGGAAAACAAAACAGAAATCCTGAACCTTAACATTCTTTACAAGTAACCATTACGTATCTCCTCATAAATGGGGAAAAATGACTCCAGACTTATTGTTTCAACTACTACCAACTTTCAAAAAAGAAATCTCATCTGGCTGGACAGCACTGCTAAATTTACTACTGCATGGCGTACCAATTTCCCTATAAATTTTACACAATAATGCCCATTCTTTTAAAACTAGGGCAGTTGTTTTACTTTCCATCTTACAAAATAGTACCTCCTCAGCTTATACAGTTTGAGGAACCCAAGACCCTGTGAGCCACCTGGCAGATGGAATAACATGTGAATGTCACACACTCATAGCATGGTCATCTCTGCTATCTGGAAGATTTTCATGCTATGCCATCTTCTCCATATAAAAAATACTACCTGCTACATAACATAACATGCACAACTGAATAACGTAAACCTCTGAAAAAATCTGAAAACCCCAGATTTGCTTTGGTAATTACTGCCCACTGTCTGCTGAGGAAATGAAGTCATCAAAAGCTTCCAGTTAGTATGGCAGAATAATAAGAGAAACATAGCTATCTCATTTTTACACATCTAGACTCCTTTAGCAGTAGAGAAGTAGGGTTGTTAATAGCTGACATCTAAAACTTGCTCAATAAATACGAGACTTGGTTCACTGGACACTAGAAAACTAGCGGTCAATGAAAACTGGTCCTATTGGGAAGCCTGTTTTCAGAAAATAATGGATTCCACGTTCTTAAATGATCGGGCTGAATGACCTGTGTTTTACAGGTTTCTCTGGTAATCTCAACCCAGGAGGGTTGGGGAACATCCAGGAATAGCTTCGTAACGCTGCTTCTACCTTTTCATTCTTCCCTGTCTTTCCAAGTACGCAATGATGCAGCAGTGCCTGTATTCCTAGAGAGAATCTGTCATTTGTTATGGCCCCAGTGCCACCTGGCCTGGACTCCTAATCACCGTTTGGTACACTGTGAACAAAGTCCCTCCCTCCTCAGGTACATTAGAAAATGATGACTCTTCTTGGACTGTAGAAATTGGCAGCCCTGATTTGAGCCCATAAAGTACAGTTCAGAGGCAAAGACCAATAGACATGCTAAGGGTTTTGGTGTGTAGCAGCTCTCGGGACCAACAACAGTGCCTCTATTCAATGTGGGACCATTTCACACGGGACCTTTTAACTTTGACGGATAAGTCTGGGTGTCCTGCTCTACTGAAAGCCAACTCTATCCAACAACGGCCAAGAAATGTGGGCCTTCCCCTGCAGGCACTTGAAGTACACGAAATGCCGCAGACTATCTTTTATAGGGGATTAATCTGTACCCTGCTTGTTTTCAACAGGTTTCCAAGAGGAGCTCTAACCACCCCTAGAAATATCTCCAAAAAACCAAATGCAGCCTAGGCAGCAAGACACACGCACCAGGAAGATGTGAAATCCCAGGCCAATGAACTGCTGACGTTTTGCATACTTTAGACTTGAGTTAAAAATCATTAATAATTTACCAATAATTCTTTCATCTTCAGATTAGCTCTGAGCTCCAACAGAGTTCTTTAATTTATGAAATATCAGAACCTCTTCCTTTTAATCAGTTAAATCGTTTTTAATAAAAGGAGAAAATGATTTGAGCTACCAGGGTTTCACCAAAAAGTTTACTAAGATCCACTTGTGAGTTTTCAGCTAGGAAACCAGAAGAGGATAAAAACAAAATCGGAGGGGCAGGCGTTTGGGGGAGGAGTCTACAGTTATTCCATACAACCTTCAATTTGCATAAAAAAAAGCCCAGTTAAAGAAAATGTAACATGTGGGCTCCCCATCCATTCAGATGAGTACATTTTCAGTTTTACTGCACAGAGAAGCATTTAAAATATTTTCACTCAATGCTTTAATTTGGAAATGAACTTCTTGTGATAGTGCTGATGACTTTCATAGGCTACAGATAGTTACAGACACATGTTTAAGAGTGAAAATTTCATTTTTGGCACCTTCATAGTACAAACACTGCAATGATGAATAGAGCAGCTTTTAACACATGATGACAGATATATAAAAAATTACTTAATGCTCTATGTTTACATTTACTGTGGGCATACAGCTCTGATCTGGCCTGTCAGATGAAGAGTTGTGTCATAAAGCAAAGATTTGCTATACTTAAGCTGACAAAGCTCATAATCAACCCCAAATCCCGGGCCTGCATGTAGCAAGGTGAACTGTTCTGGCCTGAAGCATCAAGTCACAATGCAGGTGCCAGGAGGAAACACTAAATGCGGGCAAAGATTTTTTTCCTACCCGTGCTGCCAAACAGGCTTTTAAAAGCACAGACAGACACACATTCTTCTACTACATGCAGGGAAATGTGACACAAAGTATTGCATATGTTAATGTCAAGCTTGCTGCCATCATTTCTCTAAATATCCATGACATTTTCTTATCAGTTATACACATGAGGAAGCAAAACCTTTTTTAATGACATAAAAATTATAACTATTTTACTAAAGAAAGTATTTTCAATCAATTTCCGTGCTCTTGAAGGAAGTGTGTGTGCAAAGGAGGGAGAGGGAAGGGAGGAAGGGAAGGAGATGGGGAGGGAACACATTTCTGAGTGTTGTTTTCCCTCTAAAACCACCCAATATGGTCAACTTTGTTTTAAAGTGTTAGATTTAGGAAATTTTCCTCAGTGAGGAACAAACAGAAAGCAGGATGTCTAAACAAAAGCAAATTAAATCAAGACAAGGACATCGAAAACAAATTTGGCTTTACTTTTCGGTGGAAGGAGGTCCTATATCTAACACTGCACAAGGTTTCCTGCACAATGAAAGGAGAAGCCGAAGCCCTTACACTGCCTCGCTTTGCCAGAGAATCACCGTAGTCTGCTGGCAAAGTCCGCTTGCTGGACTTTTTCTGCTCATGTTCAACTGCATCTTCAATTATAGGCTCAAGCCTCATCTGGACAAACACCAAAGATTGGGATCAATGTCTTTTCATTATACAGAGAAAGATCTAATACCCTGTTTCATGTTTCTGCAGTCCAATTAAACAACTGTACGACTAGCAGGGTTCGAAGTTAAAGAAAATGCAAAACCCCAGCAGTGACAAAAATCGAACATTCTAGGCCCCGACTTAATCTCTTGCCAACTTGAAGGTTTTTAAGGTCTGTTTCTGAGACCTGATTGGGATTTCAGCATCTTCATTCAAGATCCCACCCAGGAAGCTAATCCATTAAAATCCCAAAATTGAAATAAAATATTTCCCCCACAAATTGCACAAAGAACCTATGTCAATCTACCACCCAATCTTCCCCAACCCCTTTGTAAGCGAAACTCATCCTTGGAAATAGTGCTAATATGCAAACCTCTGCTTCTCTTCAGACACCAATAAGCTGCTCTGCATTACCTCCGTGAGGATTGTGGTATCATAGGATGGCTGATACTTTTCTTTTTCATGAGCAGTTCTCTTCTCCATCTTCTCTCGGTCAGTTTTTTGTTTCCTGTCTGCACCTTTAGGCTAAAAGACAAAGTAGGTTCATCCATTGGACTATAAGCACCTTGACAAGCAACACTGGGCCTTAGTGACTGACAGCCTGGCTTCCATCTCACCTTAAAAACCTTGATTTGGCAGCTAGCTGAGTGTAGATGATCTGTGTATTCTCCATTTTCATTCTGCTTAAAGGTGTCAACCTGGATCCTAAAAGGCACTCCCTTCTCACCCCCGTGCTTCCGTGGAGTAAATTCTGTGCTGATGCAGTGTACCTTAAAAAAACAAAGAGAAATGGCCTCAAAGTACCGTCCACTGGTCTTGTTGCCTCGTGGATGTCCTGCCACCTCTATAAATTCAAGATCCTTTAAAAGGAACTCCCACATATTAGCCAGATACCTGTCATGAGTTTGTTTTTAATGACTGTTTTTAACATGGATTTCCTTTCACAAATCCAACCGAGATTTGCTGAACGTTTTGGGATTGAGCTCTTCTCTTCCCCATTCCAGTGCTGCTCCTCTAAGGCAGGACTTGCTCTGATCTCGGGAACAGCAGCACAGTAGCTTCATCTGCACTTCCCCTCCCTCCACTTGGACCGCTTCCTGCTCTCAGACCCAGGGGCCTGAGCCTTGCAGGTGGCTCCCTCCACAGCAACCCTCACCATTCAGAGCTTCCACTGTTCGCCCTCTACCCAGTCAACCATCTCACTGCTCTTCCCACCTGCATGGACTTGGCACACGCTGCCTGGGGAACTTCCACAGTCCAGAAAGCTCACTACGTGTCCTACCTGTATCCACCTAAACTCTGCTGTCAACCCTTTAGGGTTCACTGAGGGCGATACCCACTTCCACCATGCCTGGCCCCTCTCCTGACTACTGCAAAGCAGCCCTAGGGGACCTTACAGGGTTAGTAACAAGGCTGGTAATTTCTGACTGTACACACCCCTTCTAGTAACTCCAAGTTAAAACTGATGTCTGCAGTGTGATTGCACAGCCTGAGACTGAAGGCCGGCTCTTACATCATTTTCATTCACTACATAACTAGTTACCACTCAGACAAATAGTATGAGAAAATATTCAACTAATACGAACCATGTCCCTAATGACTATTAATTGATGGGAGATAATATTTGGGAGACCACAAAAATTCAAAATACCGAAGATTCTTTACCATTCACACAAACCATAGCTTACTTAGGCTGGTCAGCAATTAAGCAGTTTGCCTTTTCTCCGTAAGAGGACCTACTCAGTAGTTCTAATTCTACCACTTACAAATTTGAACATCCTAGGTATTAGAATTACTGTTGATTTTATTTGACATATAATATGCTTTTAAAATCATCTCTTAGAGGTAGAAATTGAGCATTTATGCGTGAAATGAAATGCCTGGGGGTTGTTTTAAAGTAGTCTATCAATAACTTAAAAAGGGGACACTACTAATAACTGTTGAAGCCAGGTGACAAGTACACATAGGATTATTATTATTATTATTATTATTATTCTCTTATTTTAGTGGACGTTTGAAAATTTCAAAATAAGAATGTTTTAAAATAGTGCTACAGAAGGGCCGGCTGAGTGGCTCAGTTGGTTAAGAGCTCGCTCAAGAGTTTGAGCTCTGAGCAACAGCGGTTCGAGTCAGCCCGAGCTGAGCAGCCGTGAGCTGCCAACAGGTGGCGGGATGGCTCAGCTAAAAAAAAAAATAAAAATAAAATAAAATAAAATAAAATAAAATAAAATAGTGCTACAGAGAATCTTAAAACAGTACACTTTTTTCAATCATATGCTTTTACACGGCAGCTTTTGTTCAAGAGAAATGCATCTTACAAAAAATGGAAGTTTTGATTATTGTTACTACCAGTGGTTAAAAGCAACATTTGAACATTTTACATATCAGATTGTCTTTACCTATATTAGTCTGTAAATGGCAGATTTAGTAGATTAACTGCAATTTAACAGTGTATATTTAAAAAAAAAAAAGACACTGTAAGAGTTTACATATAAACTTTTAAAGAAAATGATTTCATGTATTAAGAATTCAATCTCACCTATGGCCTTCTAAATGACTGGGCTAGTATACTTCTAATAATGCAAAAAAAAAAATCCAAACCTGAATGAAAGCAGATGTGCGTTTTGCAGGGTCCCATAGAAATTCAACTGCATTTAACTGGCTTGGATTTGTCCTTGTGTCAATTATTCCCACAGACATTGGAATATCTGTATTTTAAAAAGAAGTTACAAAGAAACTCATCCACTGTGAATAATCTAAAAGCTTACAACTTACTATAATTATTTCTAATGAAAATATTGGCCCTCCATGCTGAACGTTTTTCTTCAGTGTTCTCCATGGTTCACCACTTCAACCTCAAAACCCACCCAATGATCATCATGCTTTCTCCCACCATGGTTTCCATTTCATTTTATTCAGAATATGATGGATGATGCCAATTGAGAACTAACTAAATAAATGGTTTCAAACTCATAAAATTCCTCACTCAGGGTCTTTTAGCACCAAAAAACTACAGTTGGCCCTCAAAACAACATGGGTCTGAATTGTGAGGGTCCACTTATGTGCACGTTATTTTTCAATAAATACTGCAAATGTATTTTCTCTTCTTTATGATCCTCTTAATAACATTTTCTTTTCTCTAGCTTACTTTATTATAAGAATACAGTATATAACACACATAACATACAAAATGTGTTAATCGACGGTTTATGTTATCGGTAAGGCTTCCAGTTAACAGCAGGCTATTAGTAGTTAAGTTTTGGGTGAGTCAAATTATACGCAAATATTTCATTTCACGGGGGTCGGTGTCCCTAATTCCAGTGTTGTTCAAGGGTCAACATATTTAACTATAAAAAAACTCAAGGCATACAAGATCTGCTCATGCCAAAGCTCTCTCTACATAATTACAGAGGTGCCAATATGGGTGTAGCTAAACTGACTTCACATCTCTCTCCATGGTCTTCTGATGGTCACTTGTACCTAAATCTAGAAGTCTGTCTCCTGGGCGATTCCATTTCCAACCTTCAAGTTGCTGATGCTCTGTATACTGTAGCCGTCTGTCATGGAATACAACTCTTATGATGCTCTATGGAATAAGTGGGGAAAATGAGTACTTGTAAACTGTTCCAGCTAAAATGCAGAAGTGTTTTGACTTCTTATGCATTCCTATAATAGAAGAGCATAGAAAACCAAATTCTGCTTTAAACATTTAATAAGTTAACTGTTTTACTCTTGTATACCTGGATTTTGGATAAAGAACTGTAACTCAAAGAATTATCTGGTACACTGAATTATAACTCAAAAAATAAAAAGCCCAAATAAAATGGCTAAGTAGGTATAATTTTTATTTAAAAATTTGATATTGCAATTCAAAATTAACATACATGCCCATAAAATTCATGAGCAAGACTTACATTTCTATGAAGGAAACATCAGATGCACACAGGAATTACTAAAATGAAAAGGTGGTAAAAACAGAGACAGAGAAACCCAGGAATAATAGTAAAGCTGTTATTGAAAAATAAGTTAATAATTGAATTTTTTTAAAAAGACAGTCAAGTGGGTGTGTGTGGAGATCTGCATCCCCAAAGAACCTACATGCAAATTCACTCTTAGCTATTTAACCTTAAAGTGAGATGATCTGAGGTAGTAAGCAAGGAAAAAACCCAACCAAGGTAAACTTTATTTATCCAAACACTCAAGTACTGAATGGAAGGCTTTAATTCAGTTCCGCAAACTCTAGACCAAGTCTCTGTTCTCCAATAAGCACCCCTTCTTCAATTCCTACAGGTTTAGGGTACCAGCTACTGGTCCATTCCAGGAACAGGGTTTACAGGTCATCAAAATGCATTCAGATACCAGATTTGTACTAATTCGTGTTTCTGACACATTTATAAATAACTGTTAGACTATGACGCAATAAGAGAATCATATTTCCGGTACTCTCTGGTTTGGATAGGAACTAATTTGTTAGCAATATATATAAATACTACTTTAGTGCCCCCTCCTCTCCCCCTCCTCCCATAATGTCCAAATTTGTAGCTGATAAACATTTTGAAGGGAACCATTTAAAAGCAGCAATATTTTAATTTGAGATAGTTAAAAAAGCCCATCAGTGGTTAGGGCAGATGTGGGAGAAGTCTATAAAGGCTTGGCTGCCACTCTGATCCATGCCCATCTTCCCCACCTGTCCCCATGTCTGCAGGGCCTGCCCAGGAAGTCCACCAGCACTGGCTTCACGTCTCCTGCTGGGTGCAAAGCCCTCACAGTGACAGTGCCAGTGCCTGGGCTGGTGGTGGTCCTGGGTTCACATATGCCAGCAAGCAGGTCTCTCAGAAGAAAGCGCAGCACAGCAAGTGTTATGATTCTGATTATTCTACACTGTAAGAACCAGTGAAATCCACATATTCAGATGAAAATTGAGAATACAGGTATTATTTTGAGAATAAACCCCATTCTAGAAGGTCAGACTAAGACATACAGTAAAAAATATGAGAGGAGGACCATAGTTAAGAAATTGCAAGATATAAAAGAAAACTTCTTCAATGAAAACGGAAGGGAAAAAGTCATTATCTGGGAATTCTGACTAAAAGAAGACTGAATACACTTCGAGAATCAGGAACAGATAGAGGGGCCCTAAGAGAGACAGAACAAGCCAAGAAAGCAAATCACTGACTCTGTTCAGCACATTCAAGCAGTTCCAAAGCTCCTCTGATAACCCAGCAGGTGATCCCCACAATTTCCCCCACAACAGTCAAGTCAAAGATCATGGGGCCAGAAAATTAAACTCTAGATGGCTGCAGATTATTTTAGGGATCCTCTAGCTGAAGAAGGGTATGATTTTTAAAACATTCATCCTGTAGTGTTTGGCAGTAGCCGACTGTCGCTATGAATCCCAGGCAAGCTCTCAAGATATAACTGGATGTATTCTGGCATATCTGTCAAAATTCAGACATATGGCTTATCAGGTAGAAGACGAAACTAATTTAAGACCTTTTCAACGTTAACTCTTTCCAATCTGTAAATTAACTGTTCACAGATGCTGATACTTTCAAAATAGTGCTTCTGTCTACGTAGAATATACTGGTGTAACGTCAGCACAACATCCACTCTGCATTTACTGCTGGTTTCTCTGCTGTCAACAGTTCATTATCTCATGAGGAAGAGTCAATTTTGCCTTAGTTTCTTAACTTGCATTAATTTTGTGTATTAAATGTTTTTATATGTTTTAATTTGGAATGAAATCCAAGGAAGCTGAGTTTAAAGCAGTCATGCAACAACTGAATTAACCCTGCCATTCCAAGTTAAGCTGACAGGTATGCTGACTAGCTTGCCAAAGTATGCTAAACACTGAGTTTCACCTACCAAAGTGGTCATTTCTAAATCTTACTCCTATTCCGGGAACTGCCCTACAAAGCCAGCTTGTCTTCACTGATAGATGACAAAAACGCTTCAGAATTAACTTTCTTCGATACTTTGACGGAAACTTGATTTTGGCATTTGATCTAGATGCCAAAGTTTGTTATATTTTCCTCAGAACACTGAATAGTCATGAAGGATGACTCGGTTAAAATATTATTTAAAATAAGAGTTAAAATCGTGAGTTAATAAATTCTAAGAGTCCAGCAAAAATGGAAAAAAAAGGAAAAAGAAAACACAGAGGGGAATAGATGAAACAAGATTGGCAAGTTGCTGATAACTACTATAGCTGGCAGGAGCTTATTATGAGAGCTCATGAGTGTGTGTTTATCATACACCACCTTGTGATAAATACATGTGGATTTATCATACCAGTCTCTCTACTTCTGGGTATACTTGAATTTTACCATAGTAAGATTAAAAAAAACTTTTAACATTTTTTTGGATCCAGTTTTAAGGACCTCAATACAGGGCCCATCAAGCCCTATTCTATTTTACAGGAGAAGAATCCTGAATTAAAACAATTTTTCAACCCTTTTACACTGATGTATTTTTTAGACTAGTATCTCAGGGTCATCAAATGTAACTTTCAGAGTGACAGAAGAGCTCACACCTTCCCTTAAAAAATATATTACTGGGCCGGCTGAGTGGCGCGATGGTTAAGAACTGGCTTGGGATGCCAGAGGGCCCCGGTTCAGATCCCACATGAGGGCCAATGACACTGCCCTCTACAGCTAAGATGCTGAACAACAGCTCAACCTAGAGCTGGGCTGCTGTGAGTCGCCAGCGACAGTGTAGGCTGCAGCCTCTGTGGCAGTGGGTTGCCATGGGCATACCGTATGCGGCCAGCAGCCGCAGTGAGCGGCTGTCCAGAAGCCGGCGACTGATCTGCCTCGCCCAGGAAGAGCGCAATGATGGTACCAACTTGGGCCAGTGAAGCAACGTCCTCCACAACTACACTGAAGAACAAAAGGACAGCAACTTGTCTGTTCCCATCCCTCCAATTCCCCAATAAAAATCTTAAAAATAAATAAATATATATATATATATATATATATATATATATATATATATATATATATATATATATATATATATATTACTAGGTTGAATTTTAACCAGGTGTGGTGCAACTGGCAGGTTCGTCCAAAGGTGAGTCAGGTGTGCCCAGTGGCTTGTCTGACAACAAGCCAGCTGGGACCAGGGCATACGGAGAAAATCTTCACATTTCAAAGTTTCCTAGATACTAGAAAATGAGAGCTGTCAGTCTGGCTCCTTGACCAAGACATAGCTATTTAATCATTAGAGGTTAGCCAATACAAATAGGGCGTGAGAACAATGCTGATGAGCTTTTATTTTTCCTTTTTAAGAGATTTTTATTAAAATACAGCTACATATACTATTATATTTGTTTCAGGTGTACACCATAGTTATTCAACATTTATATACCGAGAGAAGTGATCACCATAAGTCCAGCAACCATCTGATAGTGTACCATGCTATCACAATGTATGGTGTCATATGGGATGCTGATGACTTTCTTAAATGGTGAATCCAATCAGTGTTTGCTACAGGTCAGAATGACAACAGGAGGGAATAAAAAATTAAGACCATCTGACTCACCCTCTTGGGAAATGATCAAACCCACTGAACACAAACATAACAGACTCAAAGTGCAGATGGCAAATGTAAGAACAAGCAAATAACCATTCTCCTTCTGTTTCAAGTTTGCTGGGAGTTCCGGGAGTTGGAAGGAGAAATCTAGGAGCACTCAAGGTTGGCAAGACAATGATCCAGTGGGGAGCAGAAAACCCCTAGTTTTTCCCTCAGCCTCCCATAGGATTAAGGGCTTCCTGTCCCCTGGAGTGGCAGGAATACTAAACTATCCCAAAGACACTCAGGCCTCCAGGTGCTGGGCAGCTGGCTTTCCCAGACACTCCAAATTCGCTAGCATTAGTATCTATCCCCCCTACACCAAGACTGCCTTTCACATGCTTGCCCACCAAAAAGACAGACCCACAGAGGGGAGAGTCCATTGGAATGCCTCTCCATATGGAGGGCCCAGCATCAACCAGGCATTGACATTGACATGCCTCTCTGTGGAAGATGGAAGGGTCAGGAGAACCCATACCTGATCCTCTTTTGCTAACACTCATCCACAGTGAAGATTTGCCTTTTCCTAATTAAACTTCTTCCATAAACCTTGCCCTGCAACGCTATCCAATTTATAATAAAGCATGGTGCACGATAGGTAGAGAGGCTAGAAGGACCCACCTTAGATGACACTGGAGGAGGCAGGGATGGTTCTGATAATATGTCTATATCTATATCTCCATATCCTAAAAGTAATGGGTGGGCGGCCAATGGCTATGCCACCTATCCCTGTAATGACTGGCTTCTCTATTCAGAAACATCAGGAGAGTGAACAGAGATTTCCAGTTTTACTTAAGAGAAATTTTAAGAGGTGAAATAAAAGAACTTTCTAAAGTTTCATTTTAACACATTTCCCCCATTATCTTTTAAAGAGAAACAAAGTTTTTGTAGTGGAGGTAGTTCCCCCCGCCACCCCCACCCCCGACCATAGCCAAACTGATTTTTCTATGGTACCTTTCCAAAGGGCTTTCACATTTAGTTCACCCAGTAACTGCTGTAATTCCTATTTTATAGATGAGTTAACAAAATACAGCTCGGGCTGGCTGAGTGGCTCGTTGGTTAACAGTTGGCTTGGGAGCGTGAGCTCTGAGCAGCAGGGCTGCCGGTTCGGATCCCACATGGGCCAGTGACGCTGCGCCCTCTACAGCTAAGATGGTGAACAACAGCTCGACCTGGAGCTGGGCTGCCGTGAGTCAACGATGACAGTGTAGGCTGCAGCCCCTGCTGCAGTGGGCTGCCATAAGCTGCTGTGAGTGGCTGGCTGCCAGCGTGAGTTGCCGTCCAGAGACCGGCGAGCGACTGCCTCACCC